TCGATATATGTTATATGACAGAAGGTGGTCATTTTGCTTGTGATGCTGAATTTTGCTGAAGCGCAGCAGGACAGAGGCATTCCCTGAACTCATCTGATGAAAGAGAAAAGTTAAATTAGTAAGTAGATATTTAAATGCTTATATACATTTTTATTAATTGATATACACGCAGGGGTGAAATGGTGGAGCAGTGGGAAAGTCATCCATTCATTGATTTCCTTTTCGTCTTAGTCCCTTTATAAATCCAAGTCGCCATAGCGCAATGATTCGCCAACTTATCCAGCATATGTTTTTGCCCTTCCAGCTGCAACCCTTCACTGGGAAACAGTCATATACACTCCTTCACTATGGTCAGTTTTAGCACACCCAACTCACCTATACCACATGTTTTTTGGACTGTGGGGGAAACCGGAGCCCCCAGTGGAAACCCATGCCAACACGGGGAGAACATGCAAACTCCAAATAGAAACACCAACTGACCCAGCCGAGGTTTGAGCCAGCGACCTTTTTGCTACCCACTGCACCACTGTGCAGCCCGAGTGGGGAAGTAAAGAATATAAAATCTGAAAAATTTGAAAGTTTAATCTAGCCATTTTAAATGATCTGTACTTAAACATTTAAGTTAATTCGATGAAGAGACTATACTTGGTCAACTCAATTAAGGTGTCGATTTCCCATTACTCAAAAGAACTAAGGGAATTACTTTCCTCAAATCATTTGAGTTTACAGTATAGATATTTGTAGTATTTACAGTGTAGCTATGGCCCATTGTCCCAATCCACAAAAGCAAGCCCATGCTTCACAAGTAATATCTAAAAATGTTTTTGTCACAAATATTTTACATCAAATTGCCTCAGAACTGACCATGTGTCTAGAATGCAATGTGAAAAGACACTAAATTACAACTTACACACACTATACTTATAATACTACAATTTGATTACATTCTTGGAGAAAAAAAGAACTTTTTAATCAATAAAAATGTCAAAGCTTTTCGGAGATCATTTCATTCTATTTTTCCTTACTACTAACAAACCAATTGGATTTTGCTGATGTCCAGTTGAATTAAAATGTTATTTATTCTGCCAATAAGATTAATTTTAGGCCAGACACGTTCTTTGGTCCTTTGAAAGTAAGGCTGCACGATATTGGAAAACTCTGCCATAGCAATATTTTGTTTTGCTGCCATATTGTAATAGTCTCACCAGAGATTTGAATAGCTCTATAAAGAAATATTTTAAGAGTTCACACTTAGCTGATGATTGATTATAAAGCTTGTTTGGAATGCTGTCCCGGGAGAGAGCCCTGAGCTCATAAGATCCTCGCGCCCGGGGCTCTCTCCCATTTGCAAGGCAAGAGGGGAGTTTCAGCTCAGGTAGATCTCAAAAACTCCCCTGCTGTAGTAGCTAATGAACAGATAGTGATTGCTCTTAAGAAATAACTACTTACTAGGAGCATGTCTATGATGTCAATTTGGATTAGTCAATTAACTTAAGTTGCATGTTTTTGGACGGCGGGAGGAAACCAGGGACCCCAGGGGAAACCCACGTGAGCACGGGGAGAATGTGTAAACTCCGCACAGAAACGTCGGCTGGAAACTGGAGCATCCAGTGACATTCTTGCTGTGAGTCAACAGTGCTAACCACTTGGCCCTGGTGCCACCCATCTACGAAAGGAGGTGGGGTGGAAGGGGGATTCTTTAGACTGAAGATGGCTGTCAAAAGGAACTTAGGGTATTTATAGTGACTTTGGAATTGTCTGATTGGTCAATCATAAATGGAATAATGCAGGGCCGGCTGCAAGCAATCATAAGCATGTGATCCTCTAGAAATTACTTTATAAATAAACTTCACTTCATTTAGATCGACTTGGATGATCACATCGTTTTCTATGCAGTGTGTTTGCATACATTATAATAAATTACAAGCTAAAATAAATAATCAAATAAACAGTCCTTTGTTATTTTCTATGAAGTCTAACGTTATTCAAGTACAGAAATTAAACAATCAAATGTAAAATAACATGGTCATGACTGCATAAATAATATTTACTCTTTAATAAATCATTTAAATCCTGCGACGTGACTATTACGAATACACACATTGCGATATTGATGCTCAAAAGATATATTGTTGTATATCATATGTATATTAGCCCTATGTGGAAGTGACATCAATTAAAACAATACACAGAACCTTGACCTTAACCTGAGAGAAATACAAACAGTTCTAAAACAGGATATAACATTGTGTGTGGTTTATTTTTTTATGTGCGAGATTAAAAGCATAAACATTAATCGCTAGTTTTTTGTCAGGGTTCTGCCACTCATTTTGCCTTTTATTTTATTTTACTATAAATAAATACTTATTTACTCTGCACTTGGGTCCTCGCTACTTTTTCCCCAACCACGATCGTGAAAGTTTTTATTCTTTTTGTTACTTGTTGTTAAGAGTAAAATTTTAAAGTGGTACAAGTTTTTCAATTTATAAACATTTAATTTGAGAACTTTAAAAATTGAGGAATCCGCTTTACTGTATTTAGATAAATCCTGCAAGTTTTCCTCAAAAACATGCATTTTCTTGTGTTGTGAGTGAAGAAAGACAAAAACTATCCGATTGAATGAGAAAGTGGTTAATAAGTTATCTGGAAATATTTATTCTGGAAATGAACTAGCATTAAATTAACAGTTTTTTTTTTCATCTCATGGAATGTAAATGCCTCCTTTCATTATAAGAAAAACCTGAGAAACAGAAGTAAATAATTCAGCAACAATAGTGAAATAGCACATAATATTAGTGCCAAGAAGATATCAGCATATCAGTGATGCAAACTTTTTATTTTACTCTATTTACACTAATGTGGATATATACAGTAGCGTGTGTATAGTAAAAATATTATTTTTCTATCTGTAAAATAGGAAACATTCATTCATTCATTTTCCCTCTTGGTCTCTATTTTTAGCGGTTACCACAGCGGAATGAACTGCCAACTATTCCAGCATATGTTTTACGTAGCAGATCCCCTTCCAGCCACAACCTAGTACTGGGAAACACCCATATACACTTATTCAATCTGTATATGGCCAATTTAGTCCAATTGACCTATAGCACATGTCTTTGGACTGTGGAGGAAACTGAAGCATCCAGTGGAAACATGGAGAGAACATGCAAACTCCACACAGAAATGCCAACTGACCCAGCCGGGACTTTGCGACCTTCTTGCTTTGAGGTGACAGTGCTAACCACTGAGCCACCGTGTCGCCCACATAGGAAACAGAAGTTGTAAATGTTACAACACTTATCTACCCAATATTATCTAGATGCAGACTTGGATTTGCAAGCTGAGTCTGCATATCTCAGACAAGCAATGTCAGACACAATGCACTCAGGGGAGCTAGTAATGCAACTGTGAGGGGTAGAATTAGGGTTAGGGTTAGGTGTGCGCATTAAAACACCTGCAGCTCAGTTTACAACTGCACCCTGTCTACCTGTACTGTATATATACCAGATAGAAACAGCCTGCTTAAAGTCTTCATTTGCTTTGTTGTCTAAATGTCACACATTGGATGAGCAATGCATGTCACATCACAACTCACAGGTATTGCACACCAGACATGTTCAGTAAAAACAAACGCACTGAATTAACACATCCTGGTTTATATTTAGGTTCTATTATGCACTCATGCACATCAAATAATGTGATCAGATTTTAATGCACATATTCATACTATGCAACAACACTTTTTTTCTGGTGTGTGACCCCCTTTAGTATGTCTGAATCAGGTAGCATGCAGAGACTGACATAAGACAGACTTCCCTGTATAATCGCTTTATTTTTTTAATTGGATAACAGTCCCCTGACATGCCTTGAAACATGCAGCGTTATTTAATGTGATGATGCAAGTTCCACTTGAACAGAAGAATGACTAGCTATAAGCAGCTTCAAAATAAAGCTTTTCTTTTTGCTATTGAGCTCTGTAGAACCACATTTAACAGGGTCTAATGAGTTTTGTGATGTCTGTAAACTTGCACATATGATCTTCTGCAGTGATTTCATGTCTTTGACTGGAACAGACTGTGTGCACAGCATTGGTTCACAAGACAGTAATGTGAAACTAGATTCATATATTCCACAATAGAAAGCATATTCTTTGCCATATAATACCTACTTTTCCCCCTATTAAATGCAAACTGTGCATTGACCATGAAGGAAAACAGCAATTGTGTGACTAATATATCAATTTCAGGTGAACATTTAACTACTATTTGTAATGCAGGGCACAGGATGCTTCAGAAGTGACAGATTGAATGCATATAAATCATGCGAATCTTAAAAATGATCAGTTGCAGTTTTAGGTTTCTAGTTTAAAAATCTAAATGCTTGTTTACTAGAACTTTTAAAGCATTGAAGTGATGTATTTACATGAAACACTGTGTTTTAAACAATTTGCACCACAAATAATAATAATAACAACAATTCTGGTTAACCTAAAATCTATTTTTTATGTTATGAACACTTGGAACTTTTCTAAATGTTAGGATTTTACTGTCTCTTTTAATAGCCAATCCATCAATACTCCCCCAAAGGCGCCGCTGCCGCAGCCGCGTAAAGTAATACCAATAACCTACACTTTCATCCTACTTCAATCCCTTCTTAATGCATTAGCAAACTAACCTTAAGTCTCCATCAGACTCCTTTGGGGAGGAGTCCTTTGATCACATCTTAATTAGCCACGCCCCTGGTGATGCTGCGACTCATTTGTACACAGATGACTACAGCTCATCCAAACCAGAGCGCAGACCTCTGGGGTCACCAGCGAGCCATGACCACCTAAACAAGCAGAGCAATTATTTCAGCAGGTTTTTACATTTAAAAAGTAACATAAACATAGATATGAACCATCATTTTAACTTTTAAAAATTAATGACTTTTCGGACTGATTTCCAGCACCCACGTGTTTAGCGCAAACGATTTAACTAAAGCACGAACTAAATGTCAGAATGAACACAACTCAATTGATCGAGGATCTTCTTCAGAACTCCAGCTGTAAACATGAAGCCAAACACTTGAACTCGAACATTGCTGGAGATCTTCCTCATCCTCTTCATCTTCCGCGCTTCACCGCCGCGTCTCAGGTCCGGGTGACGCTCACGCTCGTACTGTGCGCGCTGTCCGCCTGCTGCAACCTGGCCGTGCTTTACTCCGCCAACAACAACCAAAGAAAACGCTCCCACGTCCGGCTCATCATCACCAATCTGGCCGCGGCGGATCTGCTGGTGACGTTCGTGGTGATGCCGACGGACGCGGTGTGGAACATCACGCTGCAGTGGCGCGCGGGGGACCTCGCGTGCCGGACGCTCATGTTCCTCAAACTCGTGGCCATGTACTCGTGCGCGTTTGTGACCGTGGTGATTAGTCTGGATCGACAGGCTGCCATCCTCAACCCTCTGTCCATCAACAAGGCGATGAGAAGAAATAAAGTTTTGCTGGGCGTCGCGTGGACCATGAGTGTCGTGTTGTCCATACCGCAGGTAAATAAACAGAGGCGCACAGATGAGAAGTTTGGGTTGGGTGAGATGTATACTGAGCTGGTTTAAGCTTGTATTTCAGTATAAATGGCTGAAAAAAACTCTTGTCTAGTTTGAAGCTGCTTTACTGTTATTTTATTCATTCATTTTCTTTTTGACTTTTCGACCACAACAGAATGAACCGCCAATTTATCCAGCATATGTTTTACGCAGCGGATGCCCTTCCAGCTGCAAACCAGTAGCAGGGGTCACCAATCCTGGTCCTGGAGGGCCGGTGTTCCTGCAGGGTTTAGTTCCAACTTGCCTCAACACACCTGCCTGGATGTTTTAAGTATATAAAGTAAAAGCTTGATTAGCTAGTTCAGGTGTGTTTGATTAGGGTTGGAGGTAAAATCTGCAGGACACCGGCCTTCCAGGAACAAGTTTGGTGATCACTGCGAGTACTGGGAAAACTGTTATATCAAGAAAAACAAATTCACAAATATCTTTATTGTATAACCCCAAATTAATCATGTTTTTTTTTGTATCACCATCCATAGATTAACTATTTTATAATACTAAATGTGTGGTTCTACAATTGGTAAGCAGTGTGCTTAAATAATGATTAAATTAAATTATGAAATGCCATCTAAAGTAAAACAATCAAAATATTTAAAAATCAATTTATTGAGCTGCTTCACAGTACTAAACATCAAAGATGCAATTCACAATATTGCTATTATTGAACTCAAGTCATCAGATTCCATTAAATGAAAGTCCAGTAAATCTAGATTAATAATGTAATTTAACCTTAATGCATCCCACTGCATGTGTTCCCTTTTGAAGTTTATCAGCTAGTATTGTTTTGTAATTATTTCAATGAAACGAGTGTACTATTATTATAGTTTAACAATGTTTTAACTCAACGTTTTGTGGTGCCAGGGACACCTGATAATTTTTGTATTTTAGGGCACTTAATTATGTTATCATAGGTAGAATTCTTTAAAGTATCTGTTTATCTGGTAGAAATGTTTATCTGTTTATACAGGGCAAAAAATGAATGAGCATATGAATAAATGAGCATATAGGGCTAAAAATAAAACTTCCAACTTAAACTGCTGTAAACCTATAGACTTTATTTTGGTCTCCTTTTAAATAAGACACAATAGATTATTACTAAACTGAAAACTAAACTAAATTCAACTTAACACAGGCTAGTTTGTGAAGCTTACCACAAGAAAGGCTCGGATAACTAAAGTGGATGAGACAGAGGGAGTCGGCGATGTAAATAAACATGACTGAAGCTGCCCTGCTTACAAGCTGCGGTAGAATCAGATCACAGATTAGTTAGACACATTCCTGTAAAATTTTCTGTAAATTGTCTACTTCAGATCATGGTTTAATCTAATACCGCAAAACAATTTTTTAACAATCATGTGCTTTTTGTCAACATTTTTAGTTGCTGTACAAATGACTAAAACAGTTACTAAAACAGTTAAATCCTTTATGAATGCTGTATGCATTAAGATTTGTCTCTTTTTTTTCATATTTCCTAATGCAAAATTCATACTTTTTTTTTACTGTTGTCTTCATTTAAATTAGATTAGCAAATATTTTAATATCAGACTTATTCACACTTGGTGATTTATAAATACAATTATAATGAAAAGCATCAGGAATTTATCACATGAAAAAAGAGTTTTTGCAAAAAGTGTTGAGGCTGTAACTGTGCCAGTGTGTGTTGTTTTTGCATAAAATAAATGTATTAACAGCATTAATGACTACATCTATGAAATAAAATATCCACAATACCCTAAAAAAAAAACAAAGAGACTGAAATCATGGGTTATTTTGATATTTATTTTAGATATTATATTATATTTCAGTTTTGAAAATAATGGAGCAGCTTTAGCTGAATGCCCAAAATAGTAAAATGTAAAAAGTATTTATGATGGCAAAATAAAAAACAAATGTTTTGGACAAAATCAAGAGTTAATTAAAGACGTTTATTACTTGTAAAGATATAGGCCTGGATTTTTTTTTAAAGTGTATGAATGGACATTAATGGCAGTTGTTGTTCATGAGTTTGTGTCAAGATGATGATACAAAGATTTTTGAGCAGTGTTATTTTGCAATGTAGAACAATGGATGTTGCCTGGCTACTTTCCTGCAGAAAATTAGCAACAATTTTTAAATCAAGGTCAGAAATGTATTTTGTTTTGTAAATTTTGTATAAATGTATCGATATAATGTGAGGTCTAGTTGCCAGCATAAAACTAAAACAGGAAGTACTAATGGATACTTTCTACTGAAGTATATATTTCAGGCTGTACTTCTTTACTTTAGTGTAGTCAGTACTTCAACTTTTACTAGAGTCGATTTAAACATGAGTAATCTGTACTACTACTGGAGTAAAAGATGTGTTTACTTCTGCAAAACATGTGCAATATTTATGCCTGTGATATGTTTGTCCAGGTATTTGTTTTCCATGTTGTGGAGATTGATTCCCCAAAGCAGTTTGTCCAGTGCACGACCTACGGCAGCTTTAGCTCTCGCTGGCAAGAGACATTTTACAACATGTTTACCTTCACCTTCCTCTTCCTCTTACCACTGTTCATCATGATCTCCTGCTACACAAGGATACTGTTTGAGATCTCCAAGAAAATGACAGAGGACAGATGTAAGTTAATTTCATAAACACCTCTTTTGCTCCTCCTTTGCTACCTGCCTGTCAATTTGTGCACTCCATGACAAAATTTTGAGTAAGAACAAGTTCAAAATGCATTCAAATTATGTATTCCGGATCATAAAGTGACTTGAAATTAAACTAAATAAGTTCAAACGTTGTAGTTATCAAAGTCCAACAATGTTCTAACTCCCCTGTATGGTTTGCTTGTTGAACATAATAGGGGACAGGAAAGTGGGGCATGTAATATTAGTGCTATGATTGGTCAGATTGCCTGTCTATCAAAAGAAAGGTCAATAGGGCCATTGCATGTAACATTACCCTGAGGTGTTTCTGCCCAAACCATGCCTCATCTGTTAAGCTAACATCTTGCTTTTGTTGTGATCTTTGTCACATCCAGTGCTGTCCAACAAAGTGCAGCTGCGCAGGTCTAAAAACAACATCCCAAAGGCACGCATGCGCACGCTGAAGATGACTGTGGTCATTGTCTTGTCATTCATGGTGTGTTGGACACCATACTACATGCTTGGCCTGTGGTACTGGTTCAGTCCCGCTGGCCTGGAGGAAACGGTGTCCCAGTCCCTCTCGCACATTCTCTTTATCTTTGGCCTGTTAAATGCTTGTTTGGACCCTATCATCTACGGGCTCTTCACTGTTCCACTGTGCAGAGGCATGAGGCACAGACAGCGTGAGCAAAACATTGTAGCCTTTGAGCTGGAGAACACGAATAACTCTCTAATGACCTCCATCAGGACGTCCACTTCCTCTCTCACTTTAAAGAGACTGGCAGTTCAGCAGACTTCCAGAGAAAAGCTAGAATGGGATGCTGAGTTTGTGCTCAAGACTGGAGATGACGGGACAAAGAATGCCCTTTATTCATCAGGGGTCGCCACAGTGGAATGAATAGCCAACTTATCCAACATATATTTTACACAGCGGATCCCCTTCCAGCTGCAAGCCAGTACTGGGAAACACCCATACACTCTGACATTCACACACACTCATATATGGCCAATTTAGCTTACCCAATTCACCTACAGCGCATGTGTTTGGACTGTTGGGAAAACTCCACACAGAAATGCCAACTGACTCAGCCAGGACTTGAACCAGTGACCTTCTTGCTGTGGGGTGACATTGCTAACCACTGAGCCACCATGCTGTTCCAGATAATTACATTCAGTTTCTAAAGTATTTTATTTATTGTAAATATATTATATATACTAATACTGGCAGATGAGGTAAATCTTGTGCACACTCTTAATAAATGTACATTTATTTACAAAAGGAATATTTTTTAAAGAAACTAAAACTTAAATGACCCATAAACACTACATTGTCAAAAAAAGCACATAAGAATGATTTCAGAAGGGTCATGTGACTGAGTACTTTTACATGGACACCAAAATTCAATTTTAAATTGATTATTGTCCAGTTTTTATTAAGTTACCTGCTGTACCTCAATATAGGGATACAACCCCAGCCACTTTTGAACTTTTATTGCGTACACATACACAATGTTCATCACAATGTTCAATGTTTAACTAGGCAGCCTGAGTACTAACGCTACACTAGTCTATCAATACTTCGATGTTCTTCCTTGTTTAACTAAACAGTTGCAAGGTTATAAACCAGCAAGCATACCAACCCTGAACAATAACAGACTGATAGAAAAGAAAAAAAAGAAAGGTCTTGAAGCACACGCAAAAACAACCAATTGGCTAGCAATGGTCATACACATATCCATAATCTATTAGAATTATGACATATGATAAATACAATATAAATTTACCTGCATTTAAAATAACAGGGTAAATATACACACTTTTTTTTCCCAAATACTCCAGAACATAATAACATCTATCACTCATAATATACATATGCAAACAATAGTGACACATACTGGAAAGTGCTACAATAATACTCTGATTAAGAGTCTACCATGTAAACAGCGGTTTTTGATTAATTTAATTGAACTGGCATGTAGAGTATGCTGATTTTAGTGGCATTATTGAAGTGGAGCACAGACATGTAAACATCATAATCATATCATTACCATTGTGTAGGGTTTTTGCCACATTTTGCGACAGGATAAGTCTATACACACACGGCTATTAGACACTATTCTCTGCACTTACCAAGTCAGTGAAGGACCACAGTCACCTAGAAATTATCGTTAAGGTATCGTTAAGGGTATCGTTAAGGTTTTAACGATATTACTACTTTTATTGATACCACTTATTGGTTCGGTACTTTAACGGTTCTCATGGATACTTTTTGTAGAGTTTTTTTTTTATGAAAAAAAAAAACAATTAAACTGAATTAACAACTTTATTTTATTATTATGTTTTTAATGTTTTATTTTTTTCCTGCAAAAGAAAGTACAATAGTTTGAAGGAAAATTACAGGAAAATAAGAAAAATCAACAATCTTTCTAGGTTTATTGTGCTCCCTGCAGTTGAAAATACCTTCTTTGAGTTGCAAAATGCAGTTAAATGAGATGTTTAGGATTTTTCATTAACACATTCACATAAATGAGTTAGCATGCATGAAAGTGAAAGTTCCAAACTGCAGTTAAAATCGACAAATTAGAAATGAAACGCAAAATTACATGAAACTCTGGAGGAATTGTTGATAGTGTGCGACGCAATGACATTAATGGAATTATCTGCTATAACATGTAAAACTGGATCATGAAAAGGACATTCATAAAGCAACTTAAGTAAACACCTTAATCATATTATTGTCTTATTTAGATTATGGCAAATAATTCATTACCAATGTTCATGTAAACGTATTCATTGACAACTGCGGTCCGTTCTTTGTACGTGGATTGCTCAATTAGCTGGATTTGGTTATGGACGATTTGACACAATCCAGGATTGTTTTGTTCTTCAAAACTGATCCGAGAGTTGTTGTCATAGCAACAGTTCTGGTACTGTAGCTCAAACCTGCTAGGGAGCAGGCTTATTTCATATAAACACGATTAGATCGGGTCAGTTCAAGTGAAGATAACACTTAAAGTACCAAATTCTGATATTTTCTTACAGTAGTAGTTATATACACTTGAAAAAATAGTAATTATATTTTTTAACTATATAAAAAGTTAAAAATATATATTAATAAAACTTTAGCAATCTGCACTCCGAAATAAAAGTACAAAAACTGCAGTCTGCTGGTTAAAAAAGAAAATTTATTGATATAAACTTTTTAGATCACTTTAGTACAATTTGTGTATGATAATAGAAATGCACAACATGTGACTTCTTTAAAAAGCAATAATACATTTATGCAGTCATGAACACGTTTTGACAGTTAATATGACGGTGATTTGACGTTTCACAAAAGTTGCTTCACAAGAGACGTCTTTACCAATATCAAAATGCTGTTGTAAACAACCAGTTATTCTTCGCACCAATTAAGAAACTATAATACTACTATGGCTACTATAATAAAGAAAATCCGCTCTAACTGTAAAACGAAATAAATTGCTTGATGAGTCTTGACACATGAAAGGGTAAAGCATGCAGCCCACAACAAAGTTGGAAAGTTATTGCGTATCATATTTAACAAATTGTTTACTATGAATTTTATGTAATTTAGTTTACATGGATAATTGAATATTAATCAGATGATGTCATTACGCTGCTGTGCCATTAGCCAAATAGTTGTATTGCTGATCATGATTTCGAGGATCTATAGATCTGTCCTTCACAACACACTCAGCGATCTCAGATCAGTTTATGCAGACATTTGAATCTGATTCACGAACTTGTTTGAAGAACCAAATTAGCTAGAGATCATTTATCAACATTAAATGATCCAGGATCTGCCAAAGCATCTTAGACCCTGGAGTAGTGGGTGAAAAAATATTTATGTATTTAAAAAGAAAACTTTCATTTTTATTGTGTATTTTTAATTAAAAAGCAAAAAAAAAAATAAAATAAATAAAAAATTTAAACTGTAAATTGTGACTTTTTACAATTTACTCGACTTGAAACATTGCATGGATTCATAATTGTTTAAATAAAGTAGACTGATTTAAAATTACAACTATAAGGGTTAAAATTGAGCATTTTGTGTTTTGTCTTGCGGTCTAAAAAATGGAACCACAATCAAATGAATTGGAAGGCTTGAGGGGTTTAACACAGATCATTAAGTTTATGCATGGTAATGTGGTTATGGGCTGTGAGTCAGATTGTTCAAAGTTCCATAAGCTCACCAAAAATCGTCCCTAACTGCCCTCTGGCAGTCCAATTAAAAAGTAATGATGTGGTGAAACAGTGGATAAACAAATTGGCATAAATGATTTAAAATGATAAGTGTATTTAAAAAAAAATAGCTGCATTGATTAATAGTGAAGCTCAAGTTAAATGAACTTGATGTTCAGTACAAACTGCACTAATCATGAAAAGATGTGCTTGCTGGAAAAGACTTAAGTAGAACAAAGCTGAAAACGAGTGCCCATGATCTGTCATATGAAATGAACAAAGCATTACAACCCGGAAAATGGTGTTGACATTCAGTATAATGTGTGTGAGACATCATTAGCTGTGATATTATATGAACGTTTTCTGAAAAGTCAGTTTGCAATAGTCTGTGCACTGCGAACAAACAAATATTCTGATGTTTTGTGTATTACATAACAACTACTTATCGCAATTGAGCTGTAAGTGTAGAAAAAGATATGCTGGAACCATTACTAATACACTTATGCAATTGCACAGATTACGCATGCATATATAAACATATATTAAGTCATGTGCATATATAAGCTCATTTGCACTGGCCTAAGCATCATGCAGCATTGCTTGAGAAGTGACATTTACCCTTCTCATAACCACTGAACTGAAAAATAACTTTTAAAATGGAAGTGCTCCGAACGTACTGTATTCATTGTTTAAAAACGAATCACTATAGATGAATGAATGAATGAATGCGTGCATGCATTTGATCCACATTAATATAGGAAAAGGAAAATGTGCTGTCGGTCAGATTACTTCTGATTCTTATTATGTTCTGTGTTTTATTTAATACCATGCTTCAGTAGCTGCTCCCATTGGTAAGCCAATTTTCTGTCCGTCTCTTTCCATGAGTCAGCTCTACACACACAAAGACATAACACATGTAAAACACAGTAAGTATTTTAGGCCATCTTCAAATATAAAATATGTTTACAGTAAAAATAGCCCAACCCTAACTATAATAATGACAATTATTATAAAAATCCTGTTTCTAAAAGTCATTGTTAATGTTGAAAGTTAAATCAAAGGACTTTAGGATTTGCATTAGTGCTCTGTTTTGTACAAGTAAGATTTTAAAACAGCTAAATTACAACTCAACATTTTTTTGTCCCCATTAAATTTTAGGTGGAACTAGTGTTTCCAAGGTGACTAACTAGTGGCTTGGCTGTTCCTCGTCTTTTGAATGTTGGTCTAGTTTAAATGTTGAACTCACTGCATGTTTTTAGCTGCTTTCTGCATGTAAGCTTTGCATTAAGTGAGCTAACAAATTACTATGGTTTATTTGCTTAAGTAGCCATGTAATAAGCAGAATAATGTGCATTTAGCTGATTTTTTTGGAAGTGTTTTAGAAAGTGGAGTTGTTATGGCTTAATGGCCTTTTCAAAGCCTAGTAACTCTGTGTTTATTCTGCAATAACAACCAGCTGACTGTACATTGTCCCTTACTAATTGTATTATAATATTATACTAAAGTTCACCAACCTTTCCTTAATGTAAGCATTACAGGCTTCCTCCAAATCCAAAATTGTGGCTTTGGTTACTTTTTCAGTTACAGCTGGTCTTACAACTCGGTGCTGATCCAACAAAGAACATTCAGAGAAGCTGAAGACAAAGAGAGAGCCATCATTCTCTTCCCTGTTGATCACCTTTGCCAAGGGTGTTTTTCTATCACCTAAAACAAACCAAAAGCAGGTGAAAGTTTAACTGAATACATAACTGCAACGTTAATCCAATAGAACAGAAAGCATTCTGATTAAGACTTTCAGGTATTAAAATTAAGCACAATAAAGGTTCAGTCGTGAACACAGGCTGATAGGTCATGCCTCATCTGCTCCTAAATTATCAACTGTATCGTGCAGGTGATTGGTTGCTGTTGCCTCAGCAGCCAATGAGATTTGCAACAGGGGTTAAGGCTCATTTATACTTCTGTGTCAAGTGATCGGCGTGCCCCACAGCACCTGCCTTGCATGCAGTCGTGTATTTATACACTTCTGCGTGCTGTTTGTGTTGCTCTGCAATAACACTTCCAAAATGCTAGCTGGCAGTAGATGTTTATGTTCCTCTGTGTTGAGTTTCTTGATGGCCGTTTTGTTTTTTTCTGAATGCTACCTTAATGTACAAATAGCTAAAACTCGCTCATTCTGAGGCGGGAACCGGCGGATGTGCAAACACATTACTCATAAGGTAAACACAAAACAACAGTTTCCATCTAGAGCTCATTCACAGGACTTGACACTTGTAAACACTTGCTACATCGGACTCATGGCTTTCAGTACCACCCATGCTCGTCACTGGTACCAAGTCGACCAATCACAGAGCTTGCGCTACACGTTGTTGCGATATGTAGTTATAGTTTTTGAGAGGTGCGTGTCAGCAAACTATGAACTATGCGACCAAACATAGGCTGCACTGGATCATACGCGTGTGCTTGACGCAGAAGTATAAATCAGCCTTTACATGTAGATTATGTTTGCAGCAACAGTGTGATATTTTCACAGACTGCATGTCTATTAATATACTGGCAGTAGCAAGTTTCAGTACCTGCTCTGCCATAAATATCAAAGCAGCAGCAGCAGCAGCAGCGTAGCAGATTTATGCCACCAAGACCAAACCCATCAACATTGAGATATACATATGCATTACCACAATCTCCACAAGTTGTCATGACAGAAATTAAAAGGCTTTCAGATCTATGATGTATTTTTAGTTATTAAAAATGTGAATAAACATGCAAAGGTTGTGTAATTTTTTTTCTGTAAAGGAAGACATGAGTGCAACAATCAAACATTCTTAGGGCTCATTCACACCGAATGTGTCTTTGCTACTAAAATGCTTGACGCGGTGCTCTGGAATGAGTTTAAAAATAGCACAACGTGAGGTCTATGTGATGCGATATTATGAACGTGATGTTATACCAACAATAACAGATCTATTAGAAATAGGAAAACAATATGTTATGATAAGCACTTAAAGATACATCACATCAGGATATCTGGACAAAGCCACAATTAATGCCTCCTCTACCGTGATATAACGGTAAATAAAACAGTTGTCATGCCAACTTTCTATTACAAACAGCTCGCAACGTTTGCTCCACCTCCAAGCTCTTCTGATTGGTCCACTGTTTTTGGACCTGACAGTGATAATCTGCTCTGTGTGTGAAACATCTTTCAGCTTTACACGGCTTCAGAAAAAAAAATGTGACACTCGCATGTGTGACGCTTTAAAAGAGGCAAGGCCAGAGTGTAATGGTCAAACATCTCCATCTCGTGGGTGTTCGCACAAGAAAACAATAGAAAAGTAGCATGTTGGAGCAGAAAAATGTATTCCGTGCCCCTTATGGTGTATATTCAAATAAATGATGGAAAAGTGTATTTTGTGTGAAGCTTACCAACAATGTAGAGTTTTTGCTGGAGTGGCTCAAGCACACACACAGGTTCTCTGAGTGAGCCAGATACTTGAGTGTGAGGCAGGTTTAAGATGAACATTGGTTCTCCATCCTCCATTTCCCATAAAGATACTTGCCCATTTCTCTGCATCAACAAAGCCTGTAAATGAGTCCAGTAATTACTATTTTTCAAGCTTTGCAATAAAATGACTATGAATTTTCAAATATCTGAAACTAACATGTCTGAAAATAAATTATGCAGTTAGATTGTACCTTACCAGACATTTTAGGAATGGCACAGGTCCAGCAAAAGTGACAGAACTGCTTGCGTCTGCAGATCTGATGGAAAAAGGTCATTAAATTTATTACAAACTTGACAACTCCTGAAATATCTTTAGCATGTTTATGGAAATGGCAATGCTAATGCATTTGGTCTTGGCAGAGTATCTTTGCTGCTACTGTAGAGCAACTTTGGACTTGCTAATCAATTAACACAAGCTCATTATAAATATGTACCAGCGCATACATTTCTGGAGAGCACAAATTATGTAGCCAGAGGTACCTATGGTTGCATTTCATCTTTCAAGTGAACAACACTGGTGGTATAACACTGCCAACGGCTTCTGTTTTATTTCGTGCTATCAGCTGACTGCTTACTTCCATGTGGACAGCTTTTGCCTAGTAGCTCACTGCGTACGTCGGTGGACTTAAGACCGCAATGACGGGGTATGAGTCTGGTGAAGAACGGTTCCAGAAAGCAAGTAAAACAAAATCAAAAGGCAAAAAATAAATAAGCAAGTAAATAACAAGGTGAGAACGTGGTAAGATCTGAAATCTTGGTCATGTTTTTTTTTTTCTGGATTGTTTTTGAAAACACTATCAGTTGAGTTTAGAGAAGGGGGTGGGTAGGCTGATCGGTCGGTTAGTTAGTCAGTCAGTCGACAGCCGCCTCTGGTGGATATATGCAAGAGAAGCAGTTGCAAATGGCACTTGCAAGAGAAATTTGAGACATCAAAAAGCATACACAGCAGCCTCTGGTGGATTCACAAAAACTGTGCAAACCATACCTACAAGGATGTATTTCATGCTCTCCAGAAATGTATACAGGGTAACGCATCCACTATGCCTGGGATGTAATCAATATACACACTTGTTGTTATGAACATGTAAGACCTACATGAATAAATTCTGTAGTGGGACTAGACAGGAGGAGCTGGGGAGGCAGAGGGTTTTACTTATAACATGCTGCAGGACCAACGTAGATCTACTTATTAAATCTAACAGATCTATATTAGATAATAGACAGCAAAATTTTAAATGATAATAACCATAACCCACTGTTTAATACCTCTCAATAAGTGCAACAATGCTTGTGTCTCCTCCTTGTCCTGCAGTCACACTGTAACATGTCCCACTTCTGCAAGTCAGCACTAACTGTAGTGTTGGTAAATAGGGACCCTGAAGAAGATTGACTGATGGTTCACTTTGCAGAAGGAGCTTAATCCTGCATATGGCACTGTCTCCTGGGATCACAATATTGGCATATGGAGACCCTGCAATCATTGGTAGCAATGTTTATCCCAGTATGATCTGTGAGGCAGTGTAAAGTCTCAGTGATTCATGGTTTAATCTAATCATTCAGATATTTATCATACAAACATCTGAATGGGCTAAACATTGAAGAAAATTACCAAACCGTCGGTCCCATATAGTAACAAGTTGATTGTCAAGCCCTAGAACAATAAACCGTGTGCAGGAACTGACCGCAGAGCAAAGGATTTCCTGGGAATTGGGCCATAAAACATCTGGTCTGGGTTCATTGTCTGATTCAGGAACAAATTCAGATATCCTTTATAAACATGAACAACCCATTTGTTTCATTTATTAATTAATGCAGTATAACTCTTAGTTGCTGGTGTACCTTTCTCTTTAGGGGCCTTCAACAGAAGATATTGTAAGAGATTACGACTGCCATTCCACCACAGGCACACAGAAGTGGGAGTATCTTTAAAAATAACCCAAAGAAATATTACAAATGAATATTCATAGGACAGGCTTTCACAGAAGCGATTGTTCTGTAAAGTGTGATTACACATCGCAAAGGCCCGATCTATTTTTGAAAAACGTACATGTGAAATAATCTCTTGAGTTCATGACTCACCTCCAGCTGCCTTCACTTCCCCAGGCACTGAATGAAAACCTTCATTAAATAAGAAGTGACAAGTACAGTTGCTGTAATGGAACAAAAAAAAAAGGCAAACTGTAACCATTTGTGCAATGTGGGAAAATAGCCTCAGAAATTATTTTTATAAAGCTGCTTTTGACACCTTTCTCATTTCTCATTTGACACACTGCATGCTTATATCTGATTTTTTTTACAATTCATTCCGTCACAATATTTAAAACATAGTCAAAAATTAACTAAATAATAAAAAAATAAATTAGTATAATTGTTTACCTAAAACAAGGAATTGAATAAAACTACGGGTTTAACTAAAAATTAGAAACAAATAATGATAAATGGGGATGTTGATGAAATTTTTAAGTGCAACTATTTAGAGTGACGTGGTGGTGCAGTGGGTAGTGCTGTCGCCTCACTGAAAGAAGGTCGCTGGTTTGAGCCTCAGCTGGGTCAGTTGGCATTTCTGTGTAGAGTTTGCATGTTCTCCCCGTGTTGGCGTGGGTTTCCCCCACAAGTCCAAAGGCATGCGCTATAGGTGAATTGGGTAAGCTAAATTATCTGTAGTGTATGTGTGTGAATGGGAGTGTATGGTTGTTTCCGAGTGATGGGTTGCAGCAGTTAAATATATGCTGGATAAAATGGGGGTTCATTCTGCTGTGGAGACCCCTGATCAATAACTAAGCTGAAAATGAATGAACGAATGAATGAATATCTTCCCCTAATATGGGAAAAATCTCATTTTACATTATAAAAGAAACATTGGAAAATCATATGGGTTTGGAATCACTCATCAAAATTTTTGGTTAATCAGTTTTATTTTAGGGTAAAGCATTATTATTGTTATTGAGATTTGTATTGAGGTAACTAGTTAATAATTGTGAGACAAATCAGATGCACAGAAATTGTGTTGTATAGCCCTGTAGATGTGCCACACTTAAAAAACTTCTTTGCATATAATACTTTATAACTTAATTCATAATTGTGAAATACATTTGATAAATATTTAAAAAATGATAATGAAATACACCTTGATAATGTTGAAAAACATTGAATTATAATAGAATACCAAGCAAATGTTGTACCTAATGTGAAATGGTCTAGTCCATGTGTCTTTACTGTGTTTGTTTAAAAGCTGCTATAAAGATTTTCATACATCTGTAAAGGCCAGTTCACAATGCACCAAACTGACTAATTCTAAGACTTTTGTTTTTGTTGACACTTTTGTTGTTGGATCAGTGTGTTATACCAATAAATTTCTGTTTGCGTTGGTCAGAGCTTGTTTCCCACTCATTCAATGATTGTTTCTTGGGTTGTGCAACGTCTGTAATGTCTGTCATTTTGAAATCTGGTGATTGTGTACAATGGTTGAAATCACGCCCACAGACCCCTTGCTGAACATTCTGTCAAGTTGTCATTTGATTGGATACATTTCACAGGATTTCACATTCTTAAATGGTCCGTCTCAAAGCAAAACGGTCATGATGGCAAAACGCCACATACAGTGGATGAATGCTGCTGTGTTTGCAGCTGACTAGCACATATAATGATCAACGAAAAATGGGTTTTCAAACATATGTGTTTTCAAATGCAGTTTCACATATAGCGTCTTGACATGACAGTCTTTTCAACATTACATTTTTAAAGGGACAGATCACCCAAAATGAAAATTCTGTCATGATTTACTTATTATCTACTTATTTCAAACCTTTCAAACTGTCATTGACCTTTTTTTGTTCCTACTATGGATGTCAATTGTCAATTTTTTCCTGTATTTTTCAGCATAACTTTTTTTCATGTTCAACAGAAGAAAGAAATTCATAAATGTTTAGACTTAATTTAGAAGTCACACTTGACTATGGTTAAATGATTCTCTCTTTTGGGGGAAATATCCCTTTACCCCTCTAACATGATGCTAAAATAATGAGCTGTGGTTGGTTGCTGTCATGTCAGGGGGCCTTTGGTCAGTCATTAGCCAATGAAAGCTGCAATGAAGACTTTCTGTCTTTAGTCTTAGCTATTTGAGACTAGTCAGTGTCTACTAGTACAATATGAATTGGTCTTAATAGTGCATAATGTGTCAAATAACTCTTTGAGATACACTATATACCTGCTGATTCGAGTAAAATCTAACTTCAATTCCAAAATTGATCATGTCTACCTGGGAACCTCTACTTTTTGCTGTGGTGGTCCTGCAGAGCTGGTGTTGATGTACTTTGCATACATTTTCCTAAACGCCAGATCTTGGCTTTCCCATTGTTGACTACTAATGAGGTGATTTTGGCCTGAGCCTATCATGGTGCCTTCTTCTGTCTTTTGCAAGACCTCAAATGGACTTTTCAGTGAGGTTCCTAAAAAAAAAACACATCAGTGAAATAAAAGCATAACAAACATGTCTGCAGCAATGCCTTAGATACCTGCAGGGATTTCGGGAGGTTTGATCTTCATGAGTAAGACTACCGGAGACAATTTTGCTTCAGTGGCCCGTGGGGATTGTGTGGCCTACATAAAAAACAGGGCTGAATGATCATTTTGAAACAGCAACTAAACAAACAATAACTGATATGTGTAGACATAACACCAACATTGTATTCAGTACATTATTTCTAAAAATAAAAAAAACAACAAAAACAAACAAAAAACATAACTGAAGTTGTGCCTCCAGAAAAAAACTGTAATAAAAGTCTGCCTAGGGGGTATATGTAAAATAATCGTATTTCAAGCTGAAAACAAGTTTATTTCATTTACACCACTGACAGATTATTCAGCCTGTTTTAAGGAAAACCCTGCTTAATTTTGACTCATTATTTCTGAAAATAAAACAAAATGTCTTGTCTAGAAAATGTTTAGTGATTTAAGAATTTTTTTGATATTTGGACTAGAAACAAGACAAAAACTCTAAGTAAAAGAAGACAGTCCTTTTTGCCATGGAACGTTTCAACATAATACAGCTATGAGTTATAAACTAGGCTGTCAAAGACTATAGAATACACAACACATGTCACTCGTATCTTTTTGAATGGGGAAAAGTGTAACTGTCAATATGGTGAATAAAGCCCACCTATTAGTACAGGAGCCAATCATCGATCACTATATGGTGTAAAAAGCATGACTTCTAGTGAATAAAGCCCACCTATTAGTACTGGAGTCAATCATCAATCACTATAAACTGACAATAATGCAGGGGAGGGGCTTGGACCAGAGGTGAGTTTCTGCAGATTTTGTGTGATATGAACATTTAGAAATGAAACTAAAAGGACAGTTGTTGTTTAATTGTATTGGTGATTCCTAATATGCAGTAGTGGAAAGAGTACTGAAAAGTCATACTCCAGTAAAAGTACCATTACTTGGCAAAAAATGTATTGCGAGTAGAATAAAAGTATCTGTTGTAAATATTACTCAAAGTACGAGTACTTTTGAAGAGCTTTCAAAAGTACTCAAGAGTAGTGAGTATTATGCTGTTAAAAGCTGATGTGCTTAAATGTAATTTGAGTTTGTGTGTAAACGTAACGTTCTGTAGTACACCTAGTTATTGCTTAGCAGCCACACAACATCATAAGAGGTTAACATTAGGTTATTTAGGTTGTGATGACCAAAATTCAATGTCAGATGACCAAAATTCAACTTTTAACCAGCGTCTAAGGACAAAGTTATTTTGATGTCCATGTTTATGTCCATGTCAATGTTGCTATTTGGTTGATTTTAGGTTTTTAGAAGGTAACCAAAATCCAACGTCGACCCAACATCTTAAACAAACCTCATGTTGACATCAAATACGGACATTTATTCATCAGGTATGGCAACCAAAATCCAATGTCTGATAAATGTCAATAGTAGTAACGTCCACACAACGTCAAGCTTTAACATCATTAGACGTTGATATTTGGTTGGTTTTAGGTTGGACATTGACGTTGGCCTGACATCAAGTTCTGACGTCAACCTGATTTTCAGTTCCAAACAATATGCAACGTCCCCATGACATTGAGGTACAACGTCAATCTGACGTCATGTTAACGTCTTGTGCCTGCTGGCCAAGTTTAAGGCCATTTCAGTCATCATACAGTAAACATCTAAACATTCTGTGGGTCAATGCGTGTAAAGGTTTTGGACATTTTGGATGCTTTTAATGCTTACAAACAGTTTGCTGCAATTATAAAGTGCACATGTCTTGAGGTAGGTTATTATGAGGCAATTTACCTTCTATGTGTGATTTGATTGAACAGGAATCACAGGACTGATTCTTCAAATCCCCATAGACAAGGAAAAATAAAGTAGTGACTGCAGGTTGAAGAAAGTAGTGGAGTAAAAGTACAGATACAGCACTAAAAATGTTCTCAAGGGAAAGTAAAAGTGCACATTTTTAAAACTACTTAGTAAATTCCTGAGAAAAACTACTCAGTTACATTAATTTGAGTATTTGTAATTAGTAACTTTACACCACTGCTAATATGAAATTCAACCATAATTTTGGCAAGCAATTTTGAAGAATTTGATGTTTCCCCATTCAGACAGAATGCCCAAGCATACTGCCCGAGAGGCGTTTTAAAGATGTGAAATGACTTGCCTTAAAGGGACTTTGGCTATACAAACTATAAACAGTTACCTGTTTGGCTTCAAGCTCTTTAAGCCACGTCTCTTGTGGGAAGCGATAGAGATCCAGCCAAACAGATCCATGGGCTTCAAAGACAATATATGACAATGGCATTAATGAATCAGTAATACTATTTTTAAAATTGTATGTACATATTTTAATAGGAAATGTACACATCATAACTGCAGCTCCAAATGCCCCACTCCTAGATACTTCAAACTTTACACAGATGTTTCTTTGGTTTATATCATCCTGTAAGAAATATGACATTTGTTACAAAAAAGCCCCAACAGAATATATAAAATAAGCTCTTAAACAATAGTATGAACTTACAGTTTCATTGATGACTTTTATTAAATAAGTATTCTCCTTGTGATGTAAAAAAACCTGCGCAATACCTAATAAGACAAAAGATACATTTGTATAATTAAATGCACAAAATAGGATGAGAGAGACCTTAATGTAAATTGTGTCAAAATATTTCAAGGAAATTACCCATGTCATCCACTGTCCCCAAGAGGTGTGTGACATTTCCAAGAGAGGCACAAGAGATGCTGGTGATCTCCACTCGTTCATCCTGCCATGTCTTCACACAAGTCAGACTGGATGTACTGATGACCGACAGACCATGAGTGTGACCCAAAAACAGGTAAAGTCCATCATCAGAGCCAATCATACAGTTAGTTCGGCTTGGAAGCTGAGAAGTACAGTTGAAGAAAGAATTATTAGCCCCCCTAAATTATTAGCCCCCCTGTTTGTTTGTTTCCTCAATTACTGTTTAATGGAGAGTTAACAGAATAACACAATTTTAATAATCTCTAATAACTGATTTATTTTATCTTTGCCATGATGACAGTAAAAAATATTTGACTAGATATTTTTCAAGACACTTCTATACAGCTTAAGGTGACATTTAAAGGCTTAACTAGGTTAATTAGGTTAACTAGGCAGGTTAGTTTAATTAGGTAAGTTATTGTATAATTGTCACGGTCGGGAGAGGGGAAAAAGGAGCGAGGACTCAGGTGCAGCAATAATGGGTTTTTATTAATAATAAAATGAAAACAAAAAGGCAAAACAAACAACCCCGAGGGGGAAAAAACTCTAATAAAACAAATAAATGAACAAACAGACTTGACTGGCTGGACAAGGCTGGATACAACAGGACAGGAAACTATCGAGACGAACTGGCCAAGGACTGAAAACATGAGGGGGATTATAAAGCAAAAAAGTAAATTGACACACAGGTGAACATGACAAACTAATAATGAGTAAACAAGGAGGGAGGGACTAGACAATAGACGGGAGAGCGCATGACACAGAGAGACAATACAAGCCATGCGCTCACATAACACAACACAACACTGAAGCACACGACAAAAGCACGTGACCACAATGTAAACACCAGTGAACACACCACACCACAATGAAAACACTCACCGTGCACTCACACACGCAGCGTGCATGCTTCATCCCAGCGCCGACCAAAACCGAAACCAACAAAACTGAGACGCTGGGAATGAAACACCACGCTGCTGACAGACGAAAACACAGACACTAGTACAAGAGCGCGCGCGTCTGAGGGACGCAAAGCGCGCGCGCGGCCGCGTCAAGCAGAAGCGCGCACACTCTGCGTACACCCACGACGGCGCGCGCGCACACAGAGACAGAAACAGGACCAGACCTGAGTAGTGTCAGAGCTCTGCCACCAAAAAAAGGATTTACAAGACCAAAGTGGCAGAACCCTGACACTAGCCCCCCCCAAAAGGGACGCCACCTGGCGTCCCTAAAGGGAACATCCAACAAGGTACAAGACAGACAAGAAACACTACAAGACAACAAAACAGGCAACATCAACAGACACAAGACAGGGAGGTGAACAGGCAAGACGACATGAAGGGGGGGAGGGAGGGAAGCCAAGCCGGACTCAACAAGACAAACAAGGGAGGGATGGGATGGCAAGACCAGGGAGGATCAGGAGGGACAGTCCAGGGTGGATTCAGTGGGTCGGGGGCCCCGGCAGGGAGCCAGGGTGGAGCCAGAGGGTCCGTCCAGGGTGCAGGGAGGGAACACCAGGGAGGAGCAGGAGGGACGACCCAGGGAGAGTCTATCAGGGGAGACAAGGCAGTGGGTCGGTGGGGAGCCGGCTGGGCTGGAGGCCTGTGGGTAGCCGGCTGGGCTAGAAGCGGCTGGGCTGAAGCCGGCAGGGCTGGAGACCAGAGGGGAGCCGGCAGGGCTGGAGACCAGAGGGGAGCCGGCAGGGCAGGGAGCTGGGCTGGTGCCGGCAGGGCTAGACGTCTGGTTGGCGCCGGCAGGGCAAGACGTCTGGGTGGTGCCGGCAGGGCAAGGGGCTGGGCTGATGCCGGCAGGGCTAGACGTCTGGTTGGCGCCAGCAGGGAAAAGAGCCGGGCTGGGGCTGGCAGGGCTAGACATCTGGTAGGTGCCGGCAGGGCAAGGGGCCGGGCTGGGGCCGGCAGGGCAAGACGTCTGGTTGGGGCCGGCAGGGAAAAGAGCCGGGCTGGGGCCGGCAGGGCTAGACATCTGGTAGGTGCCGGCAGGGCAAGGGGCCGGGCTGGGGCCGGCTGGGCAAGGAGCCAGGCTGGGGCCGGCAGGGCTAGACATCTTTGTGGTGCCAGCAGGGCAAGGAGCCGGGCTGGGGCCGGCAGGGCAAGACGTCTGGTTGGGGCCGGCAGGGCAAGACGTCTGGTTGGGGCCGGCAGGGCAAGACGTCTGGATGGGGCCGGCAGGGTAAGGGACCGGGCTGGGGCCGGCTGGGCAAGACGTCTGGGTGGCGCCGGCAGGGCAAGGAGCCGGGCTGGGGCCGGCAGGGCAAGGAGCCGGGCTGGGGCCGGCAGGGCAAGGAGCCGGGCTGGGACCGGCACTGAGCTGCGCTCTGGGGCTGGAGCCGACACTGGAGGGCGCTCTGGGGCTGGAGCCGACACTGGAGGGCGCTCTGGGGCTGGAGCCGACACTGGAGGGCGCTCTGGGGCTGGAGCCGACACTGGAGGGCGCTCAGGGGCTGGAGCCGACACTGGAGGGCGCTCTGGGGCTGGAGCTGACACTGGAGGGCGCTCTGGGGCTGGAGCCGACACTGGAGGGCGCTCTGGGGCTGGAGCCGACACTGGAGGGCGCTCTGGGGCTGGAGCCGACACTGGAGGGCGCTCAGGGGCTGGAGCCGACACTGGAGGGCGCTCAGGGGCTGGAGCCGACACTGGAGGGCGCTCAGGGGCTGGAGCCGACACTGGAGGGCGCTCTGGGGCTGGAGCCGTTGTGGTGGAGGAGCCCTTTCTCCTCCGACGCTTCCTTGGTCTGGGTGGCGGGAAGCTGGCCACCTCTTCAGACACTGCAGTATACTCCACTGCCTGCAGGACTGGTGCAGTGTCTGTTGCGGGTGCCTCAGTAAGTGATGCTGCAGCCAGGATGGTAACTGAAAGGGCTGCAGCAGGTTCGGTCACCTCTGGGTGGGCGACAGGTAAGGCAGACCCGGTCTTCCTCCTCCTTCGCCGTTTCTGGGTCATTGGAGGACTGGGGCCCCCACTGACTGCAGATAGATATGTCAAGCAGTCAGTGGGCTGGCGCTTTGTGCGGAGTTGGTGGAGCTTAAACACAAAGCGCCAAAATGGCAGGTACTCCAGCCTCTCCATCTCCACAGGGCTGAAGGGCTCCGTTAGGCAGATGTTAAATGCCTCCTTGAGGTCCAGGTTATCCTCATACTCAAGGCCATCCACTACAGCAAGGAAGTCGTGGGCGAAATTTCTGATGTCCACCTCTCCCTGCTGCAGGGAGATTTCCTGGACAACCTGAAGCAGCTGGTGTTTGACAGAGCCCCCAAGAAAAGGAGATGGAAAGAGGAAGCTACCCATTTTTCTGCTGAGTCCTCTTTTTTGGCCAGTTCGTACTGTCACGGTCGGGTGAGGGGAAAAAGGAGCGAGGACTCAGGTGCAGCAATAATGGGTTTTTATTAATAATAAAATGAAAACAAAAAGGCAAAACAAACAACCCTAAGGGGGAAAAAACTCTAATAAAACAAATAAATGAACAAACAGACTTGACTGGCTGGACAAGACAGGGCTGGATACAACAGGACAGGAAACTATCGACGACGAACTGGCCAAGGACTGAAAACATGAGGGGGATTATAAAGCAAAAAAGTAAATTGACACACAGGTGAACATGACAAACTAATAATGAGTAAACAAGGAGGGAGGGACTAGACAATAGACGGGAGAGCGCATGACACAGAGAGACAATACAAGCCATGCGCTCACATAACACAACACAACACTGAAGCACACGACAAAAGCACGTGACCACAATGTAAACACCGAGCCACGTGCTTTGACAAAAGACGCAAGACACGAGCACACGATGAATGAAAACACTCACCGTGCACTCACACACGCAGCGTGCATGCTTCATCCCAGCGCCGACCAAAACCGAAACCAACAAAACTGAGACGCTGGGAATGAAACACCACGCTGCTGACAGACGAAAACACAGACACTAGTACAAGAGCGCGCGCGTCTGAGGGACGCAGAGCGCGCGCGCGGCCGCGTCAAGCAGAAGCGCGCACACTCTGCGTACACCCATGACGGCGCGCGCGCACACAGAGACAGAAACAGGACCAGACCTGAGTAGTGTCAGAGCTCTGCCACCAAAAAAAGGATTTACAAGACCAAAGTGGCAGAACCTTGACAATAATGATGGTTTGTTCTGTAAAATATCAAAAACAAATATAGCTAAAAGAGGCTAATAATTTTGACCTTAAATGAATTTTAAAAAATTTAAAACTGCTTTTATTGTAGCCAAAATAAAACAAGGCAAGGCAAGGCAAGTTTATTTATACAGCACATTTCATACACAGTGGCAATTCAAAGTGTTTTACATAAACAAGAATAAAAGAGACAAGTGTAAGAAAATAAAAACAAATAATAAAAATAAAAATGATAAAAAGAAAAATAAAAAATAGACAAAACAGATAAAAATGTGTTAAAATATGTTATAAGATAATGAAAAAGAAAAGAAAAACATAATAATGTGATCTGTCGGACGCAGCACAGTGCTCATTCAGTAAAGGCACAGCTAAACAGATGTGTAAAACAAATAAGACTTTCTCCGGAAGAAAAAATATTATCAGACATACTGTGAAAAATTCCTTGCACTGTTAAACATCATTTGACAAATATTTAAAAAAGAAAAAACAATTCAAAGGAGGGCTAATAATTCTGACTTCAACTTTAAATAAATAGTAATAATGTTGATAATGCACCAAACACACATTTGCATAGGACTAAAAGGGTCTCATGATTTTACTGTACATTTAAAGTATAATATGTGAACTGGACAAACATACCTTGATTTCTGTAGTAGCATTCAGTACAGTAATTTGTCTCGCCACTTGTTCGTTCTTTTTGATTTTCTCCTGCTCTAATATAACTTTGCCAGTAAGGTTATTTAACAGCTTATCAGACTCTGTTAGATTATTATCATGCTGTTGCAGATCTGTGAAATAATTATCATCATCGTCTTCACAGCTGCTGTGGTCTGAAAGCTTTGGGATCTCCAAAACAGTTTTGACATTCACAGCCATTGTGTGTTGTTTTTTCTGGAGGGGAAAAAGCAAAAATATTAAATTGATAATTCATCCATAAATGAAAATTCAGTCATCATTTACACATTACTCATTACTGTTTAGGAATGCTGATAACTAGACGGCTGATACTGTATACCCTTAGACCTGCATAACAATCTTCAGTTATCTTTGTTTCAGTTTAACAGAAGAAACGGATGCAGGTTTGGAACATGTGAGGTGTGAAAAAATGATGACAGAATGTTCACCTTTATGTGAACTATCTATTAAGACTGAAATATACAGTTAAATTAAATCTAAATATTGAATGTCAACTGTCGTATAAAACAGAGCTTAACCCATTTAAACAGTAGCAGTGATACCTTAAGAAATGTAAAAGAAAAAAGGTAACAGAACTTGTGTGTTTGATACAAGCTAACGTTAGCTACTAACACAATGTGCCAAAAGATTATAGCCTAGTAAACAAAAACACTATATCGTTACAGTATAAACAGTAAACGGTCTCAAAGTAATAAACCGAGGAACCACATCTCCACAGTTAACGTTACTTTTATTAATGCTTCAAAATAGATTCACAACACCAGGACAATACAGCAGCACGTAGCCTAAATTCTATTCTATATTTCCCACAAGTCTGATCTCTTGACCTCTAAAAAGAAAATAACGTAACAACTTTGAAACCTGTTTTTACTTAACAAAACAATGACGTGAATGCATAATAATTTCATTAACTCACCTTTGACGCGCTAGCCCGGAGCTGCTCGGATTGTTATGTTTCCATGGTAACCCTGAATGGTTTCTACGGGCGGTGCTTGTGCCAGTCAGTGATAAACATAGACCTAAATAGCTTAAATTAAAGCTAACAATAGCAGAATATTACAAGCCTTTGTTCCACTATTTTACATGAAAGAAATTCATTTTTAATGTCAATAATTATGACAAATAATTATTAATTAATGTGGTAATTTTTAGCTGTAGAAAAACAAGTCATGCCGCTGCAAACAGGAATGTTATTGTATAATTTTCATTTAATTATTACCTTTTATTATTATAAAATTATTTATGTAACAACTGTTATCAAACTTTTCCTTCCTCAAAAGATTCTTTATAGTGGATGTTCTTTAGGTGGCATTATGAAAACATTGGTGCATGTTGTGGTGCTCTTTTTGTTTTCAGCTTCGCTCAGTAAAGTCTGTGACAAGACTGCTCAGCTTACCAATAGATTTGTACTGATGTACAGTATACACATCAAAATAGATTAATTGTTCAATACAGCCTGCATACATAATATGTTTGTGTATTGCAAACCACGTTTAATAAATGCCTGGTTAAGGTACGGTTAAGTTAAGAACCGGTTTATGTGGGTCAAAGAAGTTGTAAACAGCAGTGAAATTGTGTGTATATGAGCCATTCCACCGAATGGGTTTCTTTTCTGTCCCCAGGAGTTTGTATGCAAAAAAAGTAACTCAAACATACATGTTACTATTATGCAAAGTGTCCATAAACTGCAAATGTAATTTGTAACATTTAAAGGATTGATAAAAACTTCCTAAAACCTTTTTATCAAACTCTTACCATTGCCTCAAATACATTAATTAAAAAAGCATACATAATTCATTCATTCATTTTCCTAAGGCTTAGTCTCTTTATTCATCAGGTGTCGCCACAGCGCAATGAACCGCCAACTTATCCAGCGGATGTTTTTCACAACAGATGCCCTTTCATGCTGCAACCCAGTACTGGGAAAAAAACATATATAATACCTTAGATTGAAAGCACATTTTAGTCGTGCCCCCTAATTTTCCACTCAGTCCTGTTTCCCTAATTAATCCCCTATCTGAAAAGCTAGGGAATATCCATAAAATTGTTTATTAAACTGAAATATTCAGTTCAAGTAAAATGTAAATACTTGCATTTACACAATAAGTGCATGTAACCTAAGATTCATTTAAATGTTACAGAGTTGATGAAATTTTTACACATGAGGTGCCTCAGTAACAGAAAAAAAGGTAAAGAAAATCCACTGAAAAGTATTTTTGAACATTTTATTTATTGAACAATATACCCAGTTATGTCTAAATATAGTGCTCTGTGAGTGAAAAACATTTAATACCAAATATATTTTAGTGTTTTCTATTACCTGTAAAGACTCTTTGTACTTTATAAACCTTCAACTGCACTCATCATAAATCATGAATTTGGCAACTGAAGTGAGCCTTCAGAAAGTGCATTAACACATCAACGCCAGAGTCAATTTTCCTCTCTGCAGTTTTTACTTTATGTCTTGGTAATGTACTGTGATCCAGAACAATATGGATCCATAACCAATATTTTATAGAATAGCATTATAAATGTGTCATCAAATAATAATAATAAAAAAACAAAACAATAAAAAGGTAAATAAGCTAGAGGCTGCACATCAGCTGCTCTAGCAGGAAAAGTGCTGGACTGAAAATAAAAAAGGTCTACTAGAGCTTTGATCACAGTTGATAAAATCAATCCTTTTGCTAAAAAATAAAACCTCATGTAAATAGCCCACCGAATATTATTATATAACAAAATAATATCTGGGTTATCCACTTTAGAAAACAATCTAGGCAAAAATGGGCTCAGAAAACGTAAATATAAATAGATAACAGTAAAATATAGAGGGCTTTCACGTAAAACCACTAGATTCTTTTTTGTAAACAAAGCAAAATAGAGTGCATCAGTATATACTACTAAAATAAGTTATTCACAGATCAGTAGGTTATTTACATTTGCTGTAGTGTTACACAAACAGTAACACAACACAAATACTTCATGTTCCATTAGCTTCTGCCACTGCCATTTCAGTAGACCTTCATTCATTCAATGTTCATCTTAGCGCTCATCTCCATCAGCCTCATAAAAGGAGTGTAAACCTGCGACGGGCTGGTTCTCGCTCTGGGACTGATGCTAGAAGACACTTCTGAGGCCGCTGGAGATTCAGATTCACTGCCTTCATGCATGGACTGACCGTGAAGTGAAGATGGAGGAGCAGTTTGTGTGGTACTGGTCATAGTTTCTTGTGTATGTACTACAGTGGACCGCAGCATCGTGCTGTACTGACCGGGAGTGTATTTAAGTAGACTATTGCTCAGTCTGCTAGAGGATCTTGGGGCTGATGAGACGTGGTTGGGTTGGAATGGAGCAACATACGGCGGTTCTTCAGATCTGCAAACACAGAAAATGAATGCGTGTGAAGGAAGGGCCTCGAATGGGGTTTTAAATTTCAATGGCAAGGTGATCTTGTGCTCATTACCTAACAGGCAGATCACAGCCAACTCCAATGTCCCTGGTGGAAACTTTAATCTCAGACGCTTTCTGTATAGACATAAAATACTTCAACTTGTCTTCTAACTCATTATTCTAGGAAAGGAAGCAAAGCAAAGGACAGCGTCAGAACAGGGAAACTAGAAAGAGAATTCATGTCACAGATATATAAAGAAGACACTGAACAAGGACCAATTCAGATCAGATATATGGGAAATTTGAACGACAACCAAAGTCCAGCTGACAGAATAGCCATGGATTGTCGAATAAGTGCATTGAGTATGCTTATTCCAACCAATCTGTGCCTTTCTGGATTGGCGAAAGGCTAAAAGCTTGCAAAAAAGAAAATCAAAACAAAAGAAAAGAAAAAAAAAAGTCACGTCCTGCTACATTGAGAATGTTGGACTTACCTCACACTCGACAATGGCAATCCTGTCCAGCAGCTCAGTGATGAACATATCCTTCTGTGCAACTTTGGCTCTCAATGATTCAACCTGCAGAATTGTTGTTGTTTTGAAATTAAACCAATAAATTACAAACGTATCATGAATGAAAAACTAATGTAAATGCCCTTATAATGTTATTTATAAATTGTACATGATTTTATTTTTTAAATATTCTCATATTATATGTTTGGCCTTTTGTTCTCTCTAAACCAGCACAGTGTTGATAATGTCAATTGAACTATGTCAAATCTGATAAGGAAACACTTGAACTAGTTCAACTCAAACTTCAATGTCAAGTATTCAAGGGTTTAGCAGGTTTTTCATTGATTTCAGATAATAGTAAACAATCACATGTTTTTATCGAGCATATGCTTTAAACATTCAGTCACTGGACACTTTATTAGGTACACCTTACTAGTAATGGGTTGGACTAGCTTTTGCCTTCAAAACTGCCCTAATCCTTTGTGGAATAGATTCAACAAGGTACTGGAAATATTTTTCAGAGATTTTGGTCCTTATTGACATGAAAGCATCACACAGTTGCTGTACATTTGTCAGTTGCACATCCATGATGCGAATCTCCCGTTCCACCACATCCCAAAGGTGCCCTATTGGATTGAGTACTGGTGACTGTGGAGGCCATTTGAGGACAGTGAACTCATAGTCATGTTAAAAAAAAAAAAAAAAAACAGTCTGAGATGTTTTACACTTTATGAAATGGCGCGTTATCCAGCTGGAAGTAGTCATCAGATGATGGGTGCACTGTGGTCATAAAGGGATGGACATGGTCAGCAACAATACTCAGGTAGGCTGTAGCATTGACACAATGCTCAATTGGTACTAATGGACCCAAAGTGTGCAAAGAAAATATCCCCCACACCATTACACCACCAGCACCAGCGCGAACTGTTGATACAAGGCAGGATGGATCCATGCTTTTATTTTGTTGATGACAAATTCTGACCCTACCATCTGAATGTGGCAGCAGAAATTGAGACTCATCAGACCAGGCTAGTTCTATGTTCTAGGCATCTTCTATTGTACAATTTTGGTGAGCCTGTGCGAATTGTAGCCTCAGTTTTCTGTTCTTAGCTGACAGGAGTGGAACCCAGTATAGTCTTCTGCTGCTGTAGCCCATCTGCCTCAAGGTTGGACGTGTTGTGTGTTCAGAGATGCTCTTCTGCAGACCTCTGTTGTAACGAGTGGTTATTTGAGTTACTGTTGCCTTTCTCTTAGCTGGAACCAGTCTGGCCATTCTCCTCTGACCTCTGGCATCAACAAGGGATTTGTGCCCACAGAACTGCCACTCACTGGATATTTTCTTTTTTTCAGACCATTCTCTGTAAACCTTAGAGATGGTTGTGCATGAAAATCACAGTAGATCAGCAGTTTCTGAAATACTCAGACCAGTCCGTCCGGCACCAACAACCATGCCATATTCAAAGTCACTTAAAGCACCTTTCTTTTGACCATGTCTACATGCCTAAATGCATTGAGTTGCAGCCATTTAATTGGCTGATTAGAAATTTGCTTTAACGAGCAGTTGGACAGGTGTACCTGATAAAGCCAGTGAGTGTATATGCAACATATATTTTAAAATATTACAAAAATGGCTGTGTACACAAATTGTATATTTGTGAAATCCAAATATAAACTTGAATGTTTATACATAATTAGCATATTTCCCATGCAAATTTGTTCAGAATCTACTTAGATCAATTATGGAAGTGAAAATTTATTTGCTAGTGAATTTGTTGTTTCTTGAAAATAGATAAGTTGTTGTGCATCTTTAAAACTTTTGCACAGACCCTTCATGTTTATAAACAGCTACATTATACCCTGCATGAAAGGTAACATTTAAAAAGCACAATAGCGGCACTTTTACACCTCAAACAGTTTCTTTAAATCAGCACCTCTTCTATCATGGCCTTGACCTTCCTCTGCTGTGAGAACACCATGTCGTTGAGGTGCTTTATTCTCTCTCTCAGCTCTGCTGCTTCTCCTTTCAGCTGCTCGGACCTGGGATGAAACATGCTACTTATGAGCAATGTAGCATGTAATA